AAATATATGCACTCCAAAAGACAGAAAACCAATAGTGCACAAATGTTGCAGAGGCTTTCAGAGCATGTTTTCTAAGGAGGTATAAGCTGGGCAGCTGCGAGCGGTGGACAGAGGTGAAGGCATGAATTCAATGTCTCGTAGACCATGCTATCTGTGAGCTTCAGCTCTCAACTCTGAGCAGGAAGTGAAGAACCTCTGATCAAGTCAGTCTTCACTATGAATTCCAAGCAGAGAAGTCAGCATGAAACAATCATATTTAATCACCTTGCATAAATGAGACTTGCTTTATAATTTTATTGCACCGTCCTTACTTCCTTAGTATAGTGTCTCATTTGTTGCTGTTGATCTTATGGTTGACATGTTGGCTAAGGAAGCCCAGACTTCATCATTTATTTTTCCATGAATATGTGTAGATTTGCATGTATTTGTGTATATAGGAATCTGAGGTTACAGATTTGTGGCTTACCTTCCGTATGCTGATAGCCTAGAAGACTGCCTTCCGTATGCTAATAACATCTTGGATTGGTGGCTCCATTCCTTAGGTGAATTACTTAGAGGAATTACTGTCCAGCATCCTCCATACGCTGTTACTAAATCTCTCCCTCTCTCTGTCTCTCTCTCTCCCTATCTCTTTTCCTTTCTCTTCTTCTCTCTCCTTCAGATTTAAAAAGTAAAACCAAATCAAATAGAAATCGAAATCCTAGCTCCCAAGCACATGAGTTTTGGAAATGCTGACCTCTCTTTCACTCCCTTGATAAACAAATACATAGATAAATGCAAATAGAGGTTTTCTGCAATTTGACCCACAGCAAGGCAATTTTATAGATCTTGACCCTAATGCACATGTTTACATTGTAGTTGTATGGATAAATCATATGTTTGAAATCAGACTTTGTCTCCAAAACAGTAACTATAAAGGATGTTTCCTAGTAGAGAAGTATTTTTGCTGACCCATCTAATCTATATTTTTGACATACATCATTTCCCTGATGTTGTTTTCTACTCTCTATCATTCTTTTATCTCTAAATCCTACCCATACCTTCAAGCCCTTGTACCAAGTCCTTATCTGCCAAGAAATCTCAGATGACCTAGTCCCTCACTAATTTTCCAGACCTCTAAGCTCACATAGCATTCACAAGTTGTATCACACACTGTACAGCTTAATTTTATGTAGTCTTTCATTGTTCATTGTTTTCTCTGCCCAGAATTATGATTGTAACCTGACAATAGAGGTCTGTCTTTTACATATGCTCTAAGAGCTTTTAACACTTGTAGACCAATTACTTTCTTATTGGTAAACTAGGTTGACAGCAAAAATTAATAAAGAAATATCTGCTCTTGTAGAAGAAGCAATTCACTTAATAGAAGCGCTTTGACAACATTAAATATAATTTTATTTTATTCCTCTGGCTATATTGTGGCTCTCGTGTCATTGTGGTTTGGAATGTCAATATCTCAAATGCTAATATTTGGGTCACATAAAATCTCATGAAAAAAAAGCCATCTAATCAATTTTCAAAGGACATTCACTGTCGGAGATAAATCCAGTCATTTTTAAAACTTTTTTAATCGTAAAGTAAAAGACAGATACAGAAAACTACAAGCAACAAATATATAGCTTAGTGAATTCCTGAAAGTTGGACTTGAACTCTTTCTTTGCTCTATTTCCTGCAAACTGTCATTTGGATCAGACTAAGTAGGTTCCATCCTTGGGGAAGACTCTAGAATGAGTGTGTTCTTTCTTTAGAAGACACATAATGCCCTCATAAAATAAACTGAGGGTTGCAGGGTGGGGGGTGGGGGGGCCGTGGGGTAGGGAGAGGGTGGTTGGGTTATGGACATTGGGGAGGGTATGTACTATGGTGAGTGCTGTGAAGTGTGTAAGCCTGACAATTCACAGACCTGTACCCCTGGGGCTAATAATTAATTATATGTTAATTTAAAAAATGAAAATTAAAAAAAAAATTTAAAAAGAAGACACATAATGCCAGGGTTTCTCTATTTTATCTTAGCAATCATAATTGCTTAATACCCAGGTCCATTTGTTCACTGGGGCCGCAACATAGTAATATTTGTATTCTATCATTGAGTTTTCACTTGCTAGTTGGAATATTGTAAGTGTACGGTTCCCCTCACATGCTGTGTGGTTACACAGTCAAAAAGTTTATTTAGGAAAAACATAATAAATGTCTGATTTTTTACCTGGTTTTCAAGATAATGATTTGGTTCTCTGTCAACCTCAGAAGTGACTGACTTTTATTTTTTTTTAAATATCTTTATGAATTCACACATTCATGTTTATTTGTTGAGTCTCAACTCATTGCACTCTTACTCAGATTGTCTTCATCTTTGGTCTGTGGAAGCCTCTTCGATTTGATTCCTGAATCCATTTGACGTGAGCCTATTAGTGTTTGATTGTTTCCTTTCTATCTGGTTACATCAAGATGTTTTAGGATCCATTGATATGTGTCCTATCTCAGACCAGTTTTACAAAAAAACCCTTGTTTCTCGCAATGCAAAAAAAAAAAAAAATTTTTTTTTTTTTTCAAAATCCCATTTTGGGCATTAGGGGTTCTTTTTACTAACAATGTCTCTAGGCTTCTTCAGTGGATAGAGCTAGGACAGACATAAAATACCTTTTAAGTTGAAACTGATTTTCTGGTTGAATTATAAGAACAGAAGACTTTCCATACCTCTTCTATTGCACATCAGTATATTCTCCCATCTACACAAATCTTCTGGTTCTCAAGGACGAAGAAGATAATAGAATTTTTAATTCTCATGATTATTCATTTGCATTAGCCCATGTTACATTAGTCTCAGAATAACAATAATAATAGTATCACCATCCATAATAATTACTGAAACATTAATTTTTATATACACACTACCCCCAGGCTCCCTTATTTTTGACATACAATTATAGGGTAGCTATAATAGAAGACCATGTAGCCATTACAAGACAAAATCTCACTTAGTCTTAGTTCCTAACATTCATTTTTCACCAGTTTGCTGTTGGGTTATCTTCCCTGGTCATTGAGGAGCTCGTTTCTCTGTGGTGGTAGTTCTCAGGATCATGGGAGAAATGCTCCCTGGTTGCTTAAATGTTGATAAGAGCTTGGCTTTGCCCTTTTTATTTAAACTAACTTCTGTGAACTATAAAATCCTTGAATCCCATTTTTTTTTTAAGATTTTATTTATTCATTTGACAGAGATCACAAGTAGGCAGAGAGGCAGGCAGAGAGAGAGAGAGAGAGGAGGAAGCAGGCTCCCTGCTGAGCAGAGAGCCCAATGCGAGGCTCGATCCCAGGACGCTGAGATCATGACCTGAGCTGAAGGCAGAGGCTTTAAACCACTGAGCCACCCAGGTGCCCCCATTTTTTTTTTTTTTTTTACCTTGGGTATCTCAAATAAATTACCTCCACTCCCTCTGGCATAAAATGTGGCTGTCCAAAAGCCACATCATAATTTAAGTTTCCCCTTTTCAACTCATGTATTCTTTCTGTCCAGATACCTAAAAGGTTTTTTTTTTTAACTCAGCAAAAATGTCTTGAATTACTCTGCAGTATTTGTTCTGTTCCCTTTCTTTGGGTTTCCTCCTCAAGGAAAACTATTATTCGTCAGTTGGACCTTCCTTCTCTTCTATTCGTCACTCTCTCCCGAATTTTCTTTTACTCTCTCTTGATTTCTTTTTGTTTTATTTATCCTTGTGCTTGTTTGTTCCTCTAGTTACTCCTTTTATTTTCTTTACTTTTTACTCTTTTTAATTTTTATATATATATATATTTTTTTACTTAGATAGCCTGTATTGAGTTATACTACCTCATTTCTGAGTTTGTTTTTTTTCTAATTCTAATTTATATTACTCTTGCATATCTGGTATTTAATTTTATTAGTGTTGTTTACCTCATTTTGAAATAATAAATTTCAAAGGTTTGATCTACTTTCCTTGCATATTTTTTATCTCTGTTTGTCTATAGGAATGGTATTCTCCTCAGTATGTATTGTAAGACATTTAGCCTCAACAGATTTTTGTTGCTTGCTTTCCTTCACATGACCTGTTTCCCTACATTCCTGGATGCTCAAATAGCTTTTCTAAATACACAGAGCTCCCTCTCCTGTTGTTTTCATTAGACCAGAGCTGAGGGCTCAGCAAACTGTAGCCTGGGGAGGTTACAGCTGGCCCAGGTCCTATTTTTGTTTGAACCTCACTGAACCAAGTATGGTTTTTACATTCTTGAGGAGTTGTAAACAAACAAAAAAAATGCAGGTGAGTTCATGACAGAAAACATGTGGGCTGCAGAGTTAAATATTTATGATCTGGGCCCTTTATAAGAAAATTTGGCCAACCCCTGAAACACACTAAAAACTATACAGCCACTTGCTCTCCAAGTTTTCATGACTTTTCTCTCTTTGAATTTATCTGGACTCTCTCTTCCCTTCATTTCTGTTGCTTCTGTCTGCTCAAGTTTTAAGTCTGTTCCCAGCCGTTTGTCCCCTGTGTAGGTTCTGTCCTGGAAAGGAGATTTTGCAGGGTAGTTTTGAGTTTTACATATACCATCCTCAGATTGTTGTGTTGCATTTTCTAGCATTAGTTGATAGTTATTTTAGAATTATCCTGTTTTCAAGTTTGATGCCTCTCTCTGATTTCTCCTACACAGATGCTGATAACATACAAGTCCTAAGATTGTTGGTAGTTTGTCCACATGCAATTGTATTTCAGGGTCTGAGAGTATAACTCATCATAGACTTTTGTTATAATTGTCCAAATGCTCATGGTTGTCTATCTAGTCACTCAGTCTCTATTTATGTGGAGATTTAGGAAGATTAAAAACTGTATTGTCACCACTGCCCCCTTCCTCCCAGAATCAAACTTATTCATTCCTAAACACCTTACTTAATAGGTTATATTAAATTTTATGGCAGGAAAATGTTTACCCTGGATATTTCAGTACACTAAATAAATCAGCATGTTTATTTTCTTTCTGTTTTTCTCCAGAGTCAAGCTCCCATTACGTAATCTCCCTAAAAGCTTTTAACAATGCAGGAGAAGGAGTTCCACTTTATGAAAGTGCTACCACCAGATCTATAACAGGTAAGCTGAAATAGTTCATCATCTTATGACAAGGGAGCCAATGTTTGAGTTGTGGTGGGAAAAAAATTAAAAAATAAAAAAATAAAACAAAATACAATGGAAAAAAAACAAAAACACGAACAAGCAAAATGTATTTAGTCATGTTCTGAGCATTGAGTGTGTATGTGTGCATACATATTTGTGTATATGTGTGTATACATACACACACACACAGTTCATTTTTTTCTTGGTTTACAAAATTGAGAGGAAGTCAGTCTATAAATTAATATGTGGACTCAGAGAATATAGATCTCTCCTTCTCTGTCTTATCTCAGTAGCTCATATTTTGGTAGCCCAATACCACTCTTCATTCTGTTGAGCACCTTGTCTCATCTTGCAAATCAGTGAGGCAGGAATGTTTCTGTGCAAAAGCCACCCAATGCCCAAATGGCCACTTGGTTCTCTACAGAGGATCCTTCAATCTAACCTGACAAGGAAGGACCTACCTCCTGGGACTGGTTTGGACTAGTCTGAGTCAGAGAGGTGGACTTTTCCCGAGCCAGGCCTATAGGTCACCCCAAGAGTTCTCAGAGCCTTATGACATTGAAAGGACTGGCACCCTCCAGGGTTTTACACCTCTGGGAATTCTTTGTGAGTTGGACCATAAAGGCAGCACACGAGAGAAAAAGAGCGCAAGTAACTCAGAAAGGAATGGGTAAGAGGAATGAGATTCAGGACATTTTATTGTTTATTGTTATATAGTTATTTATTAATTTATTTAGTTTTACAGAGACTATTTGTGACCAAGGCTGGGCGTACTCAAAAATAGAATAAATACCACCCCTGGGGTGCTGTTCAGAGTCACTGGAAAGTCACACAACCATCCCCAATAGCCTTATGTCTGAAGTCTGAAAGAAAAATCCAGGAGATCCATCTTTTTAATGAATTCTTTGATCCTGCCTCCTTTCAAAACCCAAAAGCCTCAGAGCTCATTTAACTCATCACTTACTTTCACCTTAATGAGAATAAAGGATCTGAGAGCAGAATTTCATAGAGAACATGGAAAACTGACAAGGAGGAATAAGTCAGCATAGAATAAATAGTGGGATCCACTTAAATTATGTAAACTTGGTACAGTTTGTTTTCCAAACCCACAAACTCCATTCATAGACTAATCTTGTGAATACACAGTTGTAAAATGAATTTCCAGTTGTCCCATGATGGTTTCCAAATAAACCATCACTTTGTTGATTTTAGCCAGATTTTCTTTGTGAGGCAAAGTTGATCCAGAGTTTGCTTGAATCTTTGGTTGCTGTTTTCAAGGTCTACAATCTGCCTAAAGTGGTATGCAAAATTTTGGGTATGTGTCAATGTATTCATTTATCTGTGGAGACAGTATGGCTCCCTCATTGTGTTATCAAAGGGAACCATGTCTCTCGAAAAGGGCAAATAAGAAGTATTCCCCAAGAGAATGTCTACTATCAAACATATTATCTCTAAATACATGAGGCATATGGAGGTCCAGAATAGGAAACCATGAGGTAACATGATGGAGGGCGTCTAGAATTTTCACTTCCCCTTATTCTCTTGTTCCGTAAGTAGCAGGGTTCTTTGGGAGATAGCAGGCCACTTTAGCTGTATTTGTCCTTCCCATAATTTGTATCCAGTAAGCCATCTCTTTCCTGTCTGTGGTAAAAGATGTTGAGGACTTGCTCATCAGTGTGTCCTTGAGATTGTGATCAGGCCACACAAATTATACTATGGCTAGTCTTCTCAAACACTACTTTCTTGCCAAAACTAAAACCCACGAAGGGACACTCAGGTGATCAAAAAAAGAAAAAAATTAATTTTGAGCAAAAAGCAGTGGTAGTAAAAATAGAGTTTACATGAACCAAAGATAAGTTGCTCACAAAGAACCATTTGGGACATTAACTTCTGCCTTCACTTTTGTTGTCATTCTTTAATCCTTGGCATAGGGCATTCCCAGAGTGGTTTCTAAAACACCAGTGATCCGTAAGACTATTTTTCCCTGCTAGGACTCTAATCCTAACGCGTCTGGGGGGATGAATGGATACCAAAAGTTGGAAATCATGTGAGGCATTTTCTTACTGAAGTCAAGTCAGTAGGGCAAGGTTGAAGAGGAGTGAATAAAGCCAGTCCTTTCTAAAGGGAAGGATGTGGCAGACTTATTTTATTGTTTCCACATGTCATAGAGAACAGAGGACAAATAAATAGAATCAAAGGTTAAGGTTCTGGGAGAAATTCTATCAGTAAATGTGTCGTAGTGCCACAGAGAAGACATTCTCTGTCTCTAAATTCTGTAAGTATTCCCATGAGCAGACTTAGAAGAGGCCAGCATCAAGTAAATAAAAAATCGGAGGCAGTAAGTGTGTCAGGCTGGAGTAAGTATCAGGCCATGATGATTTCCACTAATGCCTGCTCTTCCATGGGTCTCATCGCTGGAGCCTCATCCCATCCTGAGCATATTAGTATGAGAGCAGAGGAAAGTTTCACCGGGTCAAATGAGCATGTCAAGAGTTTTATTCGTGCAGTAGAGCTTTCTAGTTCTTATTATTGCAAAAACAAGACATTTTGAGCCTGGAGAAGGCAGGGGAATAAGGAGGTGGGTTGTTTGGTTTTGCTTATTCTCAACCGTTTTATCACTGTCTGAATGAAGTATAATCCAGATGTAAAATTATGTTATTATTTTTAAAAGCTGGTTTTGAACGTTAGTATGTGAACTGAAAATTCATGAACTCTTACCAAAATACTTATTAGGAACTGAATGGGCTTCTCTTTTTAGCAAAAGGTTTGAGACTATGTTTTTTTTTTCTTTTTAATTTTTAATTTATTTAGTTTTTACTCTTGACTATAACCACTGCAAATCAACAACATGTAAGGCACCTAAAAATTGCAAAAATGTTATTTAGCAACAAAAATGTGTTTTTTTCAAGAAATGTTTTCTTAACAAAAAAAGAAAATGCTTTTAATTTAACTACTCAGTTTCTGTGCTGAGAGAAATGTAATGAGCAGTGTATGTAGCATACACGTATTTAGAATAGTGCTTGCTATCCGCTAGAACATTATGCTTTGTTGGAAAAGCTCTATATCTATACTATTCAAGATGATAGATGGCATAAATGGCCATAGGATGCTTAAAATTGGCTAGTGCAACAGGAGAAATGATTTTTAAATTGTATTTAATTTTAATAATTTAAATGTAAACTATCCATGTGATTAGTGTCTCTTGTATTAGACAGTACAGATCTAAAGGAGATGGCAAGTAGAATGACAACCCATTCCTGAAAACAAATTCACTAAAAAAAAGTCAAGAAAAGCTTGGCCAGAGATAGAAATTCTTAAGTTATGTAAGTCCATAGATAGCTACCAACAAACATCATTTGAAATTTGAGGGATGCATTCTGGAAGCTGAGACTCCAAGAAACTCCACAAGTCATGAAAAATAGACGATTGTAAAATCCAGAAACAGCCAGATTGAGTGTTAGTATTTCTCCAAGTAGAATCACTTTTCGAAACCTTATATATGACACCTGTGGCGTAGGATTAAATTCATATAAGTTTAAAAACCAGGTTAAGCAAAGAAACAGCAAATACGGTATAACACAGTATGTAGGTTGGTCAAAAAAGAAGTCTGTGATTCAGAATAGTCTTCCTGTATGTATAACATTCTTCTTGGAAAGTCGGCTAAGAATAGAAACAAGGGAGGCAGTGCCTGCTTCCGTCTGGCCAAAACACCTGCCACCGATGCACCAACCTGGTGACTGATTGGGATCCTCCTGGAGGTTCTTCAGCTCCCCCTTCATCATTTCATAAATCCATTTGGGTTTAAAGGAGCCCTTAATAAAAAGACACATCAAAGGAAATACAGAAAGCCTGGGCTCTGTCATTAAATTTTAAACACACATTTTTCTTTCTCTCTCTTTCTCTTTTTTTTTTCCCCCTTTCCTTTTGTTCTGTTTTTGTTTTCAGGTTTTATATTTTGCTCCAAAGACCACAGCCCAGTAAACTACTAAATAATTCATTGGAAAACACAGTAATAAGTAGGGGATAGGCATTTGAAATACAGTGGACAAAGTGAAGTAATCATCAAAAACCAGCCAGCAGCTGCCGTGCTTGGAACTAGGCTATTTAAAAATATAAACTCTTTATGTACACTCCTTCAGAAACTCTACATTTTAGCAGGTCAGCTCCCCAAATGTCATTATATGCCCAGCCTGAGGGCTTTTTTTTCTTTGTTAGTGAGAATATATATTACATGATTTAAAGGTAAAATTTCAAAAACTGAAAAGTCTTAGTTACTAAGGACTCAAAACTAGACTCTTGTTATGGCCACAAGATAAACTCTTGTGACTGTGATATCCACAGCATAAAAATGAGTACAAATTTTTTCTAGAGAATTTTCTAAAAGCAGGTTTAGATATGTCGTCACGCAGGTTCTGATTATGTTAATCAGGATCAAAGCCCGTGTGTACCTCACACAGTTCATTCCGTCTTCCTAGTCGAGAACATAAAGTCTTCCTATGGAACTTGACATTTTGGAACAAGTAATACAGAATATAGGTATGCTTTAAGAGCCTTAGTGAATTATTCTGTGGGAAAGTGGATAAAACAGCTACTTACATACTTTCTTTAAGGATTTCAGTCTTTGAAAATCTGCCACCCCAAGTGCTAGGAGAAACCCACTTACCAAACATATCGTTGGACCACACAGACCACGGACTTGGTCAGGCCGGCTTTACGCAATCATGGTCATAGACGGATTGCTGTAGACCACAGAGCCCTTTGGGCTTTTTTATTTATTTCTTGCCTAAACAATATTATGCAGATATAGTCTAAGCATTAATGAAAGCACTAGAGAAACAAATCCAGATAGAAAAGAAGAAAAATAAACAAACAAACAAACAAAGATACTGGATAGACATTTATTTCCTTACCAGGAGGAAATATACCAGATGCTCCTTTTGATCTTGGTATTTTAAGCTATCTGTATAGTTATAAAACCGACAAGTTCTATACTAGACCTTTTAGGAAACAATGTGCAACATTCTAAAAAGAAATGGACTTTTAGGATATATAGCTAGAAGTGATCACCAAAATGGAGTTGATAAAACCACTATAGGGAAATGAGTGAATTACAGAAAATAGTCAGTTATTTTTGTAATAAAGCAATACTGTTTCTAATGAGTTTTCCGATTGAATTAATTGTGTTTTTTTCTGTTCTTCTCATGTTCCCTTTCATCATTATTGCCATGCATTTAACTCATCGTGACGTGTTACCACTGATATTTATTTTTTAACTCTTTTATTTATGCATTTATTTGTTTGTTTCATTTGGCGGGTTTTTAAACCCAGATCCCACTGACCCAGTTGATTATTATCCTTTGCTTGATGATTTCCCCACCTCGGTCCCAGATGTCTCCACCCCCATGCTCCCACCAGTAGGTGTACAGGCTGTGGCTCTTACCTACGATGCCGTGAGGGTCAGCTGGGCAGACAACTCTGTCCCTAAGAACCAAAAAACATCTGAAGTGCGACTTTACACTGTCCGGTGGAGGACCAGCTTTTCTGCGAATGCGAAATACAAGGTGAAGTTCTAACTGATAGTGTAAAATTTAAAATGAATTGTCATTTGCTTAATACCTTGTTTTAAATGCTTCCTGGACGGTTGTGAGTCATTTTGCTGCAGTGGCACCAGATGGGAAACAAAGCATTTTAATAACTCAGTATCTAAAATTAGAATGGGAATAATTGTATCTTAGGAAGCAATTCTAAGGCAAGGTAGAATAACCTCAAGAAATGTCGAATGTTATTCAAATGCCAGCAGATGCTGCGTTTGTGTAAATGATTCGATTCTGGACAAAGGAATGCCATTTTCCTTAGAAAATAGCAGAGCTCCACATTCATTTTTCGGGGTAGATGTTGGTGTCTTTCCTTTTATTTGGAATCTAGATGGGACACAAAAGGCAACCCTATTAATGTTACAGAGACCCATTTTATAGTGCATATGCCTGGGAACACAACTGGAAGACTTTGTTATAAAGTCCTTAGAAAGCACTCGAAGCCATTAGCATCTACTTCCTCAGTTAGCCTTGAAACACACTCAGGTGGTAAAGAAAACCACAGTGCACACTCCCCTTTAACTATTATGCATTAGACCAACCCCTTTCACTGAGTCATCCTACAACCCTGGTAAGAGCTCAGTAGAAACAGATACTGGAGGCATTGTCTTTACTTCTTCTAAGTCTCTGTCAGCCAGCCTTAGCAACTCCAGCAAATAGTTGTATGCAGGGACAATTTTCTTACCTCCTGAGCCTGCCACAATGTTAGTATATGCAAATAATACAAAAAATGTGGTCTAAATGAGAAAATTAACAAGTGCCTGTCTGTCAGGTACCTACAATGTCCCTAGAACTGTGCTAGATTCTAGAGGCAGTTGCGCACAGTTGTTGCTGCTTAACATATTATTTATAATTTTGGAATGAGTAAGACACTTAGTTCCACTGACACATTTCAAAGTATCCGTAAGTTATTCAAGTGAGATAACATCTGAAAACACATTTAAAACATAAACCTTCACAAGACGATGGTTTGGGATGAAAAAGATAGCTTTAAAAATAGGATCATACATGTTGCCCAGTAACCAAGGAACCAGTAGTTCAATCCTGGCACTCCAGCTCCTTCGGATGCCCCTTATCTGAGAAGACATGATCGGTTCTCTTTACCACTCCACTGGGACAGGTCTCGGAGAAAATTTGAATCTCCTGATATTTCATGCAGTGTTCTTTCCACTAAGCTGCCATCTTGCTTAATTTAGCTTCTAGCCAATGGTGATTTCAGGGATGACAATTTCCTTTGGGAGTGTCAGACTCTAAAGACCACAGAGAGAAAGGAAAATCCCACCAATAGTATTATAAATCTGCCTCTTTCTTCCTCTAGGCATGCTGCATCTGCTTTTAGTCTCTTTCAACTTTTTAGTGTTGTAAAATTCACGTTTCATCATAAATCAGTTTTTAGTTGAAACCATTTTAAAAAGCTTTCTTTGGTGCTGTCACCCTGCTAGGTCAGGTATTTGGAAAAACTCTCCAGGCAAGTCCAAATAGTATCATTGATATAACATATGTTTTAAGTACCCTATCCATCTCCTTGCAGTATTAGATTTAGGGCTCAGCAGAATGATAAATAAAGATAACATTATCAGATAAGACAACCAATGAAACATATGAGGACATTTTTTTAAAAAGTCTCTCTTTATATACAGATTGTCCAATTCTAAGTTTACTTTTAAAAGACTACCCTAAAAATTTTATGCTCATAATTGTTCTACTCTGTCAATACATTCATTTCACAGAATGGCCATGAGTACTTTGCCAGTATGTGAAATGTTCTGAAGGATAGTGATTGTTCTCTGCAGAATGGCTTAAGTTCCAGAATTTCTTGAGGCAAATGATTTCGGTTGAATAGTTAATACAGCACACATGGAATTATTGAGTCTCACTAAGAATGCCTGTAAAGTAAGACTCAACCCAATAACTATTCCTTGTAACCAGAGGCTGATTTCTCTCATGGATTGAAGTTTGGGAATAGAAAAAACAAACAAAACAAACAAACAAAAACAGAGGCACCTGGGTGGCTCAGTGGGTTAAAGCCTCTGCCTTTGGCTCAGGTCATTATCCCAGGGTCCTGGGATTGAGCCCCACATCGGGCTCTCTGCTCATCAGGGAGCCTGCTTCCTCCTCTCTCTCTGCCTGCCTCTCTGCCTACTTGTCATCTCTCTCTGTCAAATAAATAAATAAAACCTTTAAAACAAACAAACAAACAACAAGATTTTAAATGTTCCTCTTCCCACCATCTTCCCTGACCTAAGGCTTTCAGTTACTAACATTCTGTCCCCCTTCGTAAACACCCACACTCTACATCCTTACCCTGAGAAGAAGAGTTTTAGAGAAAAGGGTGGGGTAAGTTGGATAGCAAGGATAAATACAGACCATATCTAGCCCACTAAAAAGTAATACAAATAGGCTTACATTTTTCAAATAGTGGTAATAGAATGCTTTGGTTTTACATTGTGAACTTCTCAAACGACTTTCATATCTATTATTTCATCTCACTCCCAAGCACAGTTTTATTCGGTAGGCAGAATATATACAAAATAGAGGGGGGGGGATAAATACATGAAGTCCAATGACCTGGGTGCAGGAGTTGGGTTTGCTATGACCTGTCATGTCATTGAACTTGCTCACTTCCATTTTTCTCATCTATAGGATTGGAATATCCACACCTACTATAAAGAGAGTAATAGTCTCCGTAGTTAAACATGTATGTAGATTCCTTTTTGAAGACATCATTAGGTTGTATAACTTGGAAAAGATTTCCCATGAAACTTCATCTAGAGCTCAGGTGACTTAATGTCATTATCCAAGGCTATCCCCACAGGAATACTTCATTTAATCCCAAATCAAGCCATATTCCAGACATTTATATCTAAAACTCTGTCTTGATCTTCCTTATCAGAAAAGGGAAATTTTTGTAATTTACATTCTTTTGAAATGATTAATCACATGATGTTTTATATAAATTTCTATTCGAAATATATTCACTGAATATTGACTAGTGCTTGCCAGATATAGCATAGCTATTACAGAAGATACAAAGTTGTGCAAGACTCAGTCATGCCCTCAAGATATTTTCAATTCAAAAGGGAAGTTAACACTTGCCTAAAGTTATATATCACATTAGACAATGCATGAAATATTGTAGGTAACATTATTTAATACATTCACTGGACCAGATACTATGTTTTACTTTACAGACACTTTAAATAATGCTGGGAGGTTAGTGTTATCTCCATTTTATGGATGAGTAAGTTGAGGCTCAGAGGGGTAGTACCTGTTGCATTGTATGCTCTCAAAAGTAACTGGCCATGATTTTTCAACGTACTGCTAGGCTAATGATTTATTCTGAACAATAACCTTCCTGAGAAAACCCAGTGAATTCATGGTATTTACAGAATGCAAGTATGTCATTCTAAAACACAAACAAGGACAGTGTTGCTTAGCAGCCTCCCAAATGCCAGTGACGTTTATGCTCAAAGAGACTAGTTTTATAAAAGTATGATCTCTTCCTAGCTGAAATAATACTCATTGTCCCATGTCTCCCCCTTATTTCCATTTCTAAGACTTAGAGGTGTTCATGGTAGTGAAGGAAGACAGGTTTGGAAGTTATATTTCAGCCTGTCAGATACTAGCTGCCCATGTTGTGTTTTATTTGATGAAATTCTATTTTCCTGAGTCTACAGAATATTTTTACATTTACTTAGGGCCCACATTTTTACAGTTATTTTAAAGAAGAGCTTCTGATAGATGTTTACGAGGTCATCACTTTAATAGGGTGGATGGGCACATCATCAAAATGTTATTAGTACAGTTAAATATTTATTTGGTTTTGTAATGAAGTGTAGCATTTTCATAGCTATAATCTAAGGATTCATAGTAGAATAAAAAAGATACACCATACTGCAGTAGTATAGGAGGAGATAGGTGTGACATAGATAGGAAAAAGATCTCTCCTTGATTTTCTAAACAGAGATACTTAAAAATGTAATAAGTATAAAAGTGAAGGTAAATATTAAACTTTGGAAAAGAATCAAGATCTAAATACCAAGCATAAATTGATACTTATAAGAGGCATAAATAGGCAAAATTTGCCTGATCATATGGAAAATATCCATTAACCTGGATGATTAACCTGTTCTTTTTTTCTTCATTACCATTTTGATCTCTTGAGTAAGCTATAGAAATACTTTGTTTTCTAGTAAAATATCTTTAATCTGCTATTCAAAAGACAAAGAATGAATTCAAAAGACAAATAATATTAACACAATTAGAGTCTTTTAATACATATCCAATTTGTTGTTCCTTCCCTAATCAATTGCTCCAGTGACCATACTTAAATGTGTGTTTCATGTAAACTTTGCATAAAAAGAAGACCACACAATTCAACATTTCTTTTGTTTATTTTCTTTATAATAGCCCAACAGATTCTGGAATCACTAAAAGTTTGTTCTATAAAGAATATTTTTAAAAATCATAAGTAGCAGATCTCTAAAAATTACTTTTATTACTAGTGAAAAATAATCATGATGATCTATTTAAAATATATAAACTAAAACTTCTGAAAAAAAGATTTTGGTTATTACAAACACATGAAAGTTAAAGTCAGTGGAGATTAGCTTAAAAATGGAATTGACAGAAGCAAGCAGAATTGGTCCTGACACAGTGGGTTATTGCCCTACTTGGGAAAATTGATCAGCTAGTGGCCCCTCTGAACAACACCGCACCTGATTGGATCCATTGTGTTTTTGATCTACAATTAGCCAGTATAAACTAGCTGACAGAGAGGAAGTAGAGCGAGTGCTGTGTCCTAGGTCTTATGCTATTTGGAAATAGACTCCTTGTTTACTATTTGGTCGTCTCTTTACATGCTTTGACTAAGCAAGTTGATAGAGTTCATTTTTTTCTCTTTGTTTGTTCCCCATTGGTACAGTCAGAAGACACAACATCTCTGAGTTACACAGCAACGGGCCTCAAACCCAACACGATGTATGAGTTCTCGGTCATGGTAACAAAAAACAGAAGGTCAAGCACATGGAGCATGACTGCGCATGCCACTACGTATGAAGCAGGTACGTGAAGGGAGCCTTGCTTCCAAATTTCTGCTTCTAATGGTGTTTCCCAGGTTTTGTGGAAGTTGGAACATTCATGTGCTATGATGTCTAAGTTACACCTTATCCAGCAGAAAATATTTTATGCTTTGTAGTTCAAAGCACTTTTATATCTAGTATTATCCTCCCCACTCTAGAAAAGAAGAAAATGAGTCCCCAGTGGTTTGAGTGCTGGTTTTAATCTGGACATTAACTTGGGAGATCTGAATATAAATCTTTTCTCCGATACCTTCAAGTAAAGGCCGAAATCCACGCACTGAACACTGTCCAAAACATTTGAGGTTTTGACTAGCAGTCATGGTGGGTATTTACTTTTTTTGGAAAGAAATTAGATACAATGCATTACAACCATAACCGCATTGATGTTTACCTTAAATAACCTCAGCTGGGTATGGAAAGAAGTTTCTGGGTGGTTATGTTCACTCCTTAGAAATAAGACAACGCATGGAAAAACCTTCATGCAATTCGAAATAGTTCAAATTGCAGGAAAATGTAATTCACTGTAAATTTTACCAGTCACATTTTCCATGGATCATAAAGGTTAAATTTATAACCTTAACAGACACGCGGTGCACTTGGCTTTTACAGTTCACAGAAATCCCAACATCTGAAGAATACAGGGTTTAACCTAGTGTTTGATTGGTTTCATGGTAGTCTATTTCAGGGTAAACTACACCACACATTTCCAAATGTAAAAAAATATGTACCAATAAAACTCTCTGGGTAAGTTTAATTTCTTTTTCCTTTGGAATTTGTCCCATGGTATTGCAGTTCATTTCTTCCAAGCTACTACCTTAACTCAGAGTTTACTGTTAATATTTTTTATCTTTTTGTGGATACTTCTTTCTATAAGAAGTTTTCTAGTTTGTCTGATTTAATTTCAACATCCCTCTTTTTTTATCTTCTATTTTACATGTTTACATATGTTAACTCTTTCTCTTAGAATTCTGCCCTGAATGCCAGATACTCACAGCTTCTTAGGACAAATTAGACATGCTGAATGGGTTATGCTCTACAGGGAGAATAAGGGTCCTGCTCTTCCTTTTTACTTAAAAGGAGATGAAAGGAGTTAAACATAAACCAGTAAGACATTGGGTCTTCCCTGAGCAAAAGAGAAGGAGCAGTCATTTCCTCTTAAAGCAAGCAAATTCATTCATTTTTCCCTTTCATTAACATAAAATGCACCCTAACACCTGGCTTGATAAATATATCCTATTCATTTCTCATCAACTGCGTAGCCTTGTAGGGACACCAATGGTGAGACCCATTGCTGACAATAAGATATTAACTGCTAGAGAGTGGGTAGTAGGAAGGTGATTGTTGAAACAGATAATGATCTGGACAGAAGTGTGAATAGCATGTGGATGAGATCCCGGGTGATGATGAGAAGCAAGAAGTAATTCACAAGTGTCTGCAGATTTTATAGCTTTTAGAAGGAAAGGAAGTGAATGAAATAATTCTAGGTTTGCTTCTAATTCTGCAGTAACAAAGACTGTATGGGACTGCATAGTTATGCGTTTGTGCTGAAATGGCTTGTGATAAAGCTAAGAGTGGTTGACAAATCCTTGAAATAAAACATTTCATTCTGTCCAAGTGATAAATCCTTAATTTTATTCCAGTTAAGTAAAATAGAAAAAACTTGAAGGATGCCTGACACCATGCAGAGAAAAAAAAAAAAAAAAAAAAGCCAAAAATCCTAAGTCACGTAAGAAATACAACCACAGAGTTTTGGCCAAGTTGGAATCTGAACAAACAGATCCAAGGATAAATTCTGTCTGGAGAAATCAAGGGAGGTTTCACGAAAGAAAGAAGAATTGAGCAATGGCCTGGGTGGATCATCAGGGACCCATTCCAGGGACTTCAAAGGAAAGCAGCCTGTACAAAAGTACACAAGCCAGTATCAGAAAGACTCTCCTAGAGGCACTTAGGAGTGGTTCAGAGGGAGTGGAGCTCAGGAGTCATCAGACAACAAAGGGAAATGAGGCTATAAAAGAAAGTGTAGTAAATACCAGGGCCTGATACTTATTATTTGTTATTGATTTACATTGTTTAAAGACTTTATTTATTTATTTATTAAAAGATTTTATTTATTTGACACAGAGAGAGAGAGAGAGTGAGACAGAGAGCACAAGCAGGGGGAGCAGCAGGCAAGCGGGCAGAGGGAGAGAAAGTAGGTTCCGGGCAGAGCAAGGAGCCCAGTGTGGGACTCGATCCCAGACTCCGGGGATCATGACCTGAGCCAAAGGCAGCCGCTTAAGCGACTGAGCCACCCAAGCTCCCCAAGTCTTTATTTATTTGAGAGAGAGAAAGAGAGAACAAGAGAGAGAGAGCCAGCAAGCAAGAAAGAGCCGGAGCAGTGGGGGATGGGCAGAGAGAGAAGGAGAAGCAAAATCCCCGCTGAGCAGCCCTACTTGGGGCGCCATCACTGAGCTCTCAGGACCCTGAGATCATGACCTGAGCCAAAGGCAGTTCCCCGCTGAGCATAGGACCCAACTAGGGGCTTGATCCCACAACCCCAAGATCATGAACTGAGCCAAAACCAAGAGTCGGATGCTTAACCAACTGCACTACTAGGTGCCCCTCTTATTATGTGTCATTTATTTACATTTACTCCAAAGAAGAGTGGTAGTCAGTGAAGAATTTCTGAAAGGTCTCCTCCAGGCAGAACCTGTGAGATGGGAGAGGAATAGCCCAGAGCCATTCTGCTTGACTCAGTAGGCAACCCTGAGGTCGTTAAGGCCTCATTCCTCTCCAAATAGTGTGCAGTTTATAGGATAATTCTAAACATTTGAGTTACTGATTCCAATACCAGAATCTCTGTTCACCAACCTTCACAGGGCTTGAGGAAAAAGAAAAACATGCACACCACCTAAAATAGATTAGTTGTTAGATTTTTTTGTTTTTTTTTTTTTAAATAACCACCTGTTCAGTGTATTATTTTGCTAGGTGAAGCTGAAGTCATTTTATCTTTTTTGAATACCATAACAGATTCAGTGAAGCAATCTAATCATCACCATTTGACTATTTTCTAAATAAGCGTCATTTTGAATTTTAACCCAATTAAAAGAAAACAGAATATTCTGACTAATTAGAAAGACAGATTATCGTTTAATTACTTCCAAAATAGGACAATGCCTTATTATCCTTGGTATAATACTCTAAGTCAATTTGTGACCATATTTTACCTTCCTGTTGGCTTAGGAAACATCCTGAAGGAACCCTTTATGAGAATAACCCTTCACAAGGTAGTATCGCCTTTTTGGCATTTTGCTATAACAAATCTTCTTTTCCTGCAAGAATGTCTTTGTTCTTGTTTCATTAAAACCATATACATGGGGCACCTGGGTGGCTTCGTGAGTTAAGCCTCTGCCTTTGGCTCAGGTCATGATCTCAGGGTCCTGGAATGGAGCCTGGCATCAGGCTCCCTACTCAGCAGAGAGCCTGCTAATTGCCCCCCTAACCCCCACCTTTCTCTCTGCCTACTTGTGATCTCTGTTTGTCAAATAAATAAATAAAATATTTAAAAAATATATACATATGCAGTTTCTTTACTCAGGATTCAACTACATTGGATCTATGTATGCTCCTTCTGCTTCCTTTCTTTTTTTTTTTTTTCCTTAATTTAAATATATTAAGTACCTTGTCAGGATATTATGATTAGGTGATTATGATTGATTAATGTGGAATATTAGTGGCTTTGAGAATCAGGGCATTAAAAATAAAATGTTATGATCACTGGAAATGTTTGGTGTGTCATCCATTTGAAGTTGTATGCAGGAAGAGAAACAGAAATAGAGGTGCTCAGATTCTGCATGATAGGGTCAACGTAAGGGCCAAAGAGAATGGAAAGAGTGAAGAGTTCAGAATTGACCACGTTGTACCTATCTTGTAATACACAAGATCTCGTGCAGAGATCTGGAAATTCCTCCAGAACCCAACTATAGATCTTAGACATGTTCCGAAATTTCCCATGTCAAACTAGGGGTAAGGAAAAGAGACTGTCAGTAATTGACTTGGAGTATTATACTTTGCCTAGAAGGAAAACTCACTGCATTTCAAAGCATAGACAATGAGAAAAAACATCTAAAGGAGGCTGAAAGATACCAGACTGGGTTGGCCAGTTTACTGCCACCTTTAAAATATATCTAAAATTTTGTTGAGCACAATGTAGGAGGAAAAATAATTTCTCTTTATTCTTTTAGGTTCTTGGCTGAGACCCCACTATAATAAAAGATAGATTAATAGCAGAAAAACAAAAGGAATTTAATAATATGTGTATCTCCTATATACATAGAGGATACCCAGGAACAGAATAACTCCCTAAAATGGCCCAAGCCATCACCTTAAATACAATCTCCAGCTTAAAACAGAAGAACACACTGGGGTTTGGGGAGCCAGTTATGGAAGGTTTTCAGGCAAATCACAATAAACAAGGGTGTTGTTATTATGCAGATTTAAGTTCCAACCTTCTCCCTAATAAGAGTTTCTAGAGATTTTATCATCCTCCTCTTCCTGGTACAGAGAGGGAGACACTCATAAATACAAATTTCTCTTGTAAAAGAGTAACATCTACTAAGTTTTCAGAGCTTTCCCTGTGTATACTGTTTCTTAAAAATAATCAGCCTAGGGGCGCCTGGGTGGCTCAGTGGGTTAAAGCCTCTGCTTTCGGCTCAGGTCATGATCCCAGGGTCCTGGGATCGAGCCCCACATCGGATTCCCTGCTCAGCACAGAGCCTGCTTCCCTCTCTCTCTCTCTGCCTGCCTCTCTGCCTACTTGTGATCTCTGTCAAATAAATAAATAAAATCTTTAAAAAAAAATAATCAGCCTAAAATAACCCTTATGCCAAAGAGGCATATCTTGGAGTGATAAATTCTGGTCCCTTTCAACAACATGTGGGAAAAGTAGCTCTAAGCACGCCCCCCCACACCATGGTCTTGTGCCTTCTTTTCCATGCCAGGCTGATACTAAGACCCTCACAGATTCCATACCTTCTCTATTTTCAAATATTCCTTTGCCTTCTTGCTAAGAGATATCTAGAATGTTTACCTAAGCAAGATGTCTTAACCTGCATTTACATTCATTCCTTTTTTCTTCTTCTTCTTCTTGCTTTTAAGAAAATATAGAATTAGGTGACATTTTTGTTTTAAAATCCTACAGTTGTCTCTTGGAGACATGTAGCCATCAATCTCACTAAGTATGTGTACATTTCTTTGTTTTTATAATGATTCGTACATGTTTAGTGTGGTCCTCGCTTGGAAATATCCATTATACTTTTCTCCCCTGCATTCATACATATTCTGTTCTCCTCTATTTATACCTTTGGAAGTCACTCAACTTTCATGGAAAAACATTCATTTCTATATATTTGTTTGGTTGCTTGTTTAATTAAAATACTTGAAATAAATCGTGAATGGTAAGATCAGCATGATGCACTGCATGATGGATTCTGAATGTCAACATCATGATTAGAAGTCCCGTAAATGTCTGCTTTCTTTCACATCCAATGACAAGGCCTTGTCTCTGTTTCATCTCGCAGCCCCGACCTCTGCTCCCAAGGATTTGACAGTCATTACTCGAGAAGGGAAGCCTCGCACTGTCATCGTGAGTTGGCAGCCTCCCTTGGAAGCCAATGGGAAAATTACTGGTAAGCGTCTCTGCTTTATTTCCAGCATTGCTCTGCTTAGCCTAAAATTGCTTACCTCATGTGCATGGCTCACGTCTTTTGTGTATTGGTTTTCTGTCCCAGCATCTCAGTGGACTTCCTGATCCTTTGTGGTTGTCTCTTTTGCCTCCCTGCTAACCATGGAATTTCTTCAAATGGTGCCTGCAAATACACATGCATACTCATTTTCTTTGAGTTGGTTCCTGAATGATGTATATTTCAGTTAGTTTAGACCTTTTGTTTTTCATCTTGTGGAGCATTAGGACAACCTTCTAATGGAATGTCTCTGAGCATAAGTGACTAAAAAGAAGCCGGTTGTTTGGCAATTATAAAATACAAAAGACACCTAATGACCGTGTATTTTTGAATGGCACAGACAAAGGACGTTTGTCTAAGGGTTTTTAGTTTCTCACTTAGCTTTTTAGCTTCTTACTTAAATCATAAGGTTTGTAAAATACTTAATATTGACTGACAGAAATTGAACTTAATGAATATTTCGCAATGACAGATTTTATTTTGCCAAATATTGCTGATAACATCAATGCCTAATTAAAGCGTCCATTAGAAGCCTGTAATGTTAATTTAGTATGAAAAATATAATGGAGTTCTATCAGGAATTTTGCATTTAAATGATCACTTTAGGCTTTTAATAGATGTCTCTATAGCATATAATTATTATGAAAAATATTGTATAAGTAAAAATGTGCACATTATAGTCTAATTAACTTGAACCATTGGGTTAGGCACATGTAAGAGTCACTCCTTTTTCTTCTTTTCTTGCATACAAGAAGTGGATAGCACTATTATAAATTAACAAAGTAATTCAGTCATTCTCTGATAACAGAGATAAGTATGGAAATTACAGTTCAGATGGCCCACTTACTTTATGAGTTACTTTCAGAATTTTCCAAAATGAAAAGATAATGTGAAAATTCCAAATGTGATTTAAATTTAAGTTGAAGACTTGTTTTCTCTAGAAAATGGTTCTGAGTGCAATACCAAACAGAAATTTCATTTGAGCTAACAAATATGGAAAAAGAAGAGGGATGGGACACCTGGGTGGCTCAGTGGGTTAAAGCCTCTGCCTTCAGCTCAGGTCATGATCCCAGGGTCCTGGAATCAAGCCCCGCATAGGGCTCTCTTCTCAGAGGGGAGCCTGCTTCCTCCTCTCTCTCTGCCTGCTTCTCTAACTACTTGTGATTTCTCTGTCAAATAAATAAATAAAATCTTTAAAAAAAAAAAAAGTTGAAGAGGGATATTAAATCTCCCCAAAACCGTATATGCTTAGTTGTCACTCTGCCAGGCTTTTTAAAACTGAGGCTGGATGATTCCAATTTTCTTTTACTTTTTCCCCTCAATGTTATGATTTATTTTCATTGGTTCTATTTCAGTACTTTTGTAGATTTTGATTTGTTTACATGATGACTTTTTTATTATGTTATAAATAGTAATTTATAAGCATATGGTAAATCAATAGATAAGTTTAAGAAGAAAAAAAAACAGAACAGAGGTTGTCTAAATAAAAATGAGTTCTGATGGAAAAAATGTATTTTTGGTAAAGGATAAAATAAGCCATATACCATCCAAAGTCTCCTCTCATATTTAAATAAATCTCATCTAATAGTCAGTGTAAATAATAGAATGTGTTTTCAACTCTGGAAGAAGCTAGTTTTGCTTTTTGAGGGAAAAATCAAAGTCTGTCCCATATTAAGAAATGCAAATGAGTCTAAGCAGTAAAATCCTGTGTGGCAAAATCACAGCAGATGTATAAGAAACCTCCTCCAGGGGTGCCTGGGTGGCTCAGAGGGTTAAGCCTCTGCCTTCAGCTCAGGTCATGATCTCAGGGTCCTGGGATGGAACCCCACATTGGGCTCTCTGCTCAGCAGGGAGCCTGCTTCCCCCCACTATCTCTGTCTGCCTCTCTGCCTACTTGTGATCTCTCTGTCAAATGAATAAATAAAATTTAAAAAAAAAAACCTCCTCCACATATTTTATTTAGAATGTTTATTCAGTATCCCTTCTCACAATGGTCAAGTAAAAGTATGGGAGGCAATACTTTTTACCTTAAGAGTCTAGTTGATTTATTAAAACTAAATTGTTATTCTCAAGTTGAGATATTTTGACTCAACTCAACTGGGAGTAAACACCAAGAACCCTTAAGACAACTTCTCTTCCATATATATTTTGATTCTTTTAGTCAGATTACTTCCAGAAAACAAGATGATAAAATATTCAAAATACCATTTAGCAGAGGGCCCATATTTACTATACTCAGTTTCTCATTAAAGTTACAAAGATGCAAAGGAAACGGGGGTGCTTTTCCAGTGTGTCAGAGCATGTGTGTGCCTATGTGGAGGAGGGTGCTCACATCCTACTGATAGATTTCTTCATTTAACCACATCTCTGCGTGTACACAGCTATGAAGCAGGGTGGTTAAGAACCCAAGCTCCCGAGAGAGATGCCTGGGTAAGCTGACTTTCCCAAGTTCACCTTCTCATTTATAAAATAAGGATAATAATAGAACCTCTTTTGTTGAATGGGATAATGAAGTGCTGAGAAAAGTCTCTGATGTCCAATGAGAACTGAAACTAATGAACTATCATTACCCCCACTTGAAATCCATTCTAGGATAAGGCTTTCTTAACGTACTCTGCATAGAACCTGGATCATCAATTTGTACATACATATACTTCAAAAAAATTGAACAAAGAAAAGAAAGAGATCTAGATAATGCCGATGCCTAAAGTCCTTGATTGTAAATTGGCAGTTTAGGAATTTGGACTGACATTTTCAGGAGAGAATGGTTCAGAAGGAATTAAGCGTTCATTATATGCTTGGCATCCTGCTAAGTGCTTTGGTATTGTTAAGTGAGCCTATCTTCCTGTTATTTCTTGTTGAAATGAAGAGATGTGGGGTTTCTAGGGTAAATACCTTCCCCAAAGTCAAATAACCAAGAAGTAGCAGAGCTAGGATTTAAACTAATGTTCAGACTATTCTTATTATACCATGTTTTTCTCCAGCTTATTAGTATTCAACTAGTCCAAATCAATGACTCTTAACTGATTTACAATTTAATTTATTTGAGGAAGGATTGAGCATGCTATATTTTAAAAGCTCCCCAAGTGATTTTAATGTACAGCTAAGGTTTTGAAACATTGATCTAAATAAATGCAGCGTCCAACATAATTTATGATCCAAGACCAACACAGTTAGAAGAGTTAGGCCTTCAGAAATTGCTTCCTTATCAATACTATCCAATGGATAAGATTATGTTATCTTTTGGGGTATCATGTGATACCCTAGTCCAGTTCCCCTTTCTTGAAATTCTCTTGCATCTTGACTTTTTTAAGATCACCTACCCACTCTTCTGCTCAATTTCAGGCTACAGCTTCTCAGTCTTATTAGTGGACATTTCTTCCACCTGTTTCTTAAGAGATCTTTTTAGTTCCTTTGTTACTTTCTCTGAAAAAGTGTGGATAGTATAGCCAGGGCTTCAGTGAACACACACTTATGTCTCTAAAATCTATATCTCCATCCAAGGAATTCTAAATACACATATCCTACCACATATTGTACATTTCCACTTGCCTATCTTATTAACACCTCCTTCTATTCCCCAATCCCTCCTTCTCTCCCTTCTTCCTCTTTTTTCCTTCTTTTTGTTTTTTTGTTTGTTTGTGGAGTTTTCTTTGTCTGTCCCCCACCATAACCAACCAAATAATGCACTATTATATTCCATAATAGGTTACGACGATCCAAGATGGTGGACCAAGCTGGGCACTCACTGCAATCATATGTGTCTAAATAGTCTTACTCCCATCATATAAAAATTTTTCATGTTTACCTAGTTGCAAAAGTTGGAAATTTAGCCATCTTGACTTCCTTCTTTGTCCCCTTCCCATATAATCAGGAAAGAAAAATGTAAATGCTCATAATACAGGGCTGAAAATTCTATAGAAACAGGTTTCAGATTTTGTTCAATCTCTTCAGGAACACCATTGACACTTAATAGGTAGTTAATAAATATTTGTTGAGTAGAATAATCATTGAGTTGCTATTAAATCTATTATTAACTTGAAATAAAAATTCCAGCTGTTCCAAATATATTTTCTTTATTATTAATTTATTAATTATTATTTATTATAATTATTAATTATATATGTATATATTATATGTGTGTATATTATATATAATTCTTTAAATTATTATATAATTATTAAGAAAGAAGGCAGGGAGGAAGGAGAAAAAGAAAAAAAAACAGAAAAAAAAGAACTACTAAGTAGTCACTATATAGAAGATGATATAATAGGATACCCACATATATTAATTTCTTAAACTACATTATCTGAGAGCAACTTATTTTCAGATGAGAAAAGGTTGCTTAGATTAAGTAAGGTGCTCAAGGTCACAAAGCCAGGAAATGATAGACCTATGACTTGAGGTCAGGTCTTCTTGAATCCATACCTGTTATTTTTTTTTTAAGATTTTATTTATTTATTTGACAGACAGAGATCATGAGTAGGCAGAGAGGTAGGCGGGGGGTGGGGGAGGCAGGCCCCCCACCGAGCAGAGAGCCCAAGGCAGGGCTTGATCCCAGGACCCTGGGATCATGACCTGAGCGGAAGGCAGAGGCTTTAACCCACTGAACTACCCAGGTGCCCCAGCCTGTTATTTTTTAATAATTTTTTATTAGGAAGGAAGAAATAGGTCCTTCATTATGTATTTATCTATAGGCATGATTATCAGAATCAATTTTTGAAAGATGAGGAGTTCTCACTGAGCTGAGCTCCTTGCTGTTAGGCATCATCTTGGTCTTCCTGGTACTTAGCAGCTGAACCATGGAAGAGAATCTGATCTGTGGAAAGGAGTATTGGGGGGGGGACAGAGGAAAGAGGTGGAATTGAACAGTTTTTGACACTTTCTTTTTATAATTACAATAACTTCTTTGTAGAAGTAGTCAAAAATGACATACGTATGATGTTACATTTTATGTATGTTTAAACAAATGTAATTCTGATGCTAGAGTGTCCACTGGAGTTAAAAATACCAGCCCTTATCGCCTATGACAGGAGGTAGTTCTCATTATTTGACGAGTTATGGTGAGTAAGGACAAACATGAAGTAGGAAAAAGTAGAAGAAAAAGATGAAGGAAAAAAAATTGAATGTGAGGAAATGGACATATAGGTACAGAAAGGTTCTGAGAAACCAAGGAATTTGTCCCAACCTCTGTGGTTATGGAAATCTCTGCAGTTAAGACTTCAATAACAGATTTAATATTCTCCAAACACACCAAACTCATATACCCAGATGAAATTGTATGCTTTCCCTTAGACCAATTTTTAAGGTTTTGAATGTTGTAGTAATATATTTTTATTCTGCATCTAAGTTCTCAAGTTTACACATGCACATACACACACACAAGATCAGCTTTCGCATAAATACCAGGAAATCACTTCAAATACAGTTTGGAATTGTCAGAACCTGATGCTTGTACCTTCGATCATACTTACTTGATGCCAGAACTATCATTTTTAAATGCGTAACTGAATACTTTTTACAAAGGAAAAAAAAAAAACAGCCAAAACACAAAGAGGGCTAAATATTTCCTTCCCACTTGACAAATCAACAAAATCAAGAATACATGTAGCTGACCTGGGATGAGAACAATTCTCCAAACTTTCAGTGTCATTGGGAACCTACAACAGCCCACGAAAACTCTACATTTGCACTAAATGTCACAAGTGTAAAGCATCAGTGCTTACTGGCTAAAGGATTTCATTCAATAAGTGAGTTTCAATACCTATTATGTGAAGACAATTTTATTGGTTTCTCTGAAGAATAAAAGGTAATATGGCTCTTGAACTAAAGGAATGTTTTTATCCTTTTGAAGAGATAAGACATGCACATAATAAAAGTTAAAAAAATATATATTACCATACCAGGGTCTTCTATTCAGTACATGTGTTTCTTTGGGGACAAGAAGAAAGACTGCTCTGACTCAAAAAATATTAGATTTTATTGCTGTTGATCATGGGGGCTGAGTTATAAATGAGTCATAAACAACTCCTTTGTCCAGTGATATTTCACAATCTCTTTTGAGTTAGAGTATTCCAATTTTAGAGATTTTATTTACTTATTTGACAGAAAGAGATCTCAAGTAGGCAGAGAGGCAGGCAGAGAGAGAGAAGGAAACAGCTCCCTGCTGAGCAGAGAGCCCGATGCGGGGCTGGATCCCAGGATCCTGGGATCATGACCTGAGCCGAAGGCAGAGGCTTTAACCCACTGAGCCACCCAGATGCCCCTAGAGTATTCCAATTTTAATATTAACCAGAGAGTCCTACAACCTTTAAGTTTTACAGAATTCTTTACCTTGGTTTTTTTATCTTTTACTGAGCGCTCTGCATCATAAGACATTCCTAGTTGCAGCAGCAGCATCTCAACAAATACCAAAAATATTACAGATTCCACATATTGACTAATGCAATGATTCCCGACCTTGCTTGAAGACAGAAATCACCTGGGGTGCAGATTGCCAAGGTCACCATTAGACTATTATGGTATCTATCACTGTGTGACAGGATAACCACAAATTTAGCAGCTTAAAACAACACATGTTTTTTTTTATCTCAGTGTTTCTGTCAGTCAGGAATCCATGCACAAGATTTATAGGCATCAGAAATACCCATATTTTTTAAAGATGGTAGATACTGTTATTTTGAATGGTCTGTTCCATTTTCAGATTCTGTACATTAGACAGTGATTTGTCTAATCTTTGCAATATCAAAAAAATTATTACATGATTCACTGAATACTGTAGTTTATATATTGTGAATGTATAATAATCACTGCAAATTATATTTAGGAAAACATGAGTGTTTAGAAGCAGAAGCAAACATGTAATCAGCTAAATACAGTCGCATTCATCTATTTGTGCAGCTTACATCTTGTTTTACACCTTGGACAAGAACATACCAATTGACGACTGGGTGATGGAAACAATCAGTGGTGATCGGCTTACTCACCAAATCATGGATCTCAACCTTGACACAATGTACTACTTTCGGATTCAAGCACGAAATGCAAAAGGAGTGGGGCCTCTCTCTGATCCTATCCTCTTCCGGACTCTGAAAGGTTTGAATCATTTCCTACTACAGCAGTGGCTTTCTTTTCCCGTGGGATTGTTGTAAAATACTTAACGGTGTCTGCATTAGGAACTATCTTTGCTTTCTCTGTTGGCAACATGACAATGGGCATTCAAAATAAATTAAAATTTACTGTTTCATGCTGAAAGCCAACGTGTCAGAGAAAGATCTATTGTGTTATCACATTTTCTGCCTTCAACACAAGGCAGGTATATTTAACTTAACTTTTTTTTTCCCCATTTACAATCCTTTTGGAATTTTGTATTGATTTCATGTGTATTGGTTCTATTCAAAATATATTGAGACTTTTTAGTCTTTTTATGTAAGGAAATAAAAATTAAAAAGCATTGAATTAGGCGAATGCCATACTACTGCCAAGTTTCAATGTTTTCTTTGAGGAACTATTGTCCTTAAATATAAAAAGAAAATTTGATACGGCAAGACAGAAAATCTCAAACAAAATGAATGTGTTTATTTTAAGGACCTAGGATAACAACAAGGGGGAAAAAAAGAGTCTTACAGTATGATTACGAGAAGAAAACACCCCAGGCTTGCAAAAGGAAAAATAGCTGCTCAATTCAAGCATAGTTAGATGTTCATACAGAAAAAAATGCTAAGGCCCGAGAACAGTGACTACATCAAAATAATCTTTATGTTAGTCCCTACTATTTTAGAACAGTATTATTTTTCTGGAAGACAAATAGTTTCAAGAGCCTCTATTATTTAGCAACTGAAAAAAAATTGAATGTTTCATAGCTGATATTTAAAGTTGTATACTTAGGCATGTTGTGTGTTGTTCTAAAGAAAGATATTGGCTCTTAAATCTGTGACCACATTCTGTCTATCGTTAGATCTGGCGAAGAAGTTGATAATAGATCATAGCAAACTGAAAAATTAGAAACATGAGAATGGTTGACATTTTCACCCAGGTGCTTGACATATTAAGAGAAGAGTCTTAGAATAATTGTATAGCCATTCAATTCCCCTAGGAATGGTACCCTAATAAATAGTGGACTTTTGGATTCTGGGAAGGGAGCAAACCATTCAAAGCTGGACTTGGTAACAGCTAATCTGAAAGTTTGCCAAGAACACACAAACAAGCATTCAGCCTAAGCCTTCGTGACAGTTCTTAGCGACAGAGTAGAAGTTGGGAGGGAGGCAGGAGGAAATGAGCTAATCTTCTCTGGGTTTTTAGGACTTCATGTCTAAATCAGGTTTCACTCTAAATGAGCAATCGAAAGGAAACTGGTTATTCATTTTGTGGGAGCATGAAATGTAACTAGATACCGTTTCACAAATGCTTCATCTTTATCTATAGACGAGTGCCAAATTAATTTCATGCTCACATTGTGTGCCAACTAGAGATCTCAGGGAAGGTTTAGGATGACTTAAGGCATCCAAATGTATTAAGCAGCAGAGTGATGAGTTATCACAGGATTCACAGGCCCACACTGATAACCATCCTGGAGATTATTTAATGAACTCCATATCTCATTTGGTACTATTTATACCTTAAGTACCCTAAACTCATCTATGAAATGATGTTCAGAACTGAGAACAAATTCAGGAATTTGTTATGTTGTAATAATTCACAAGCATTATTTCTAATATCCTGACTTGAATGTTTAGTATTATTTATCCTCAGTATATCATGCTCAAATAATAGACAATTAGATTTTAAAACAAATCTTGCTCATATGGCAAACCGAGCTTCAGATGTCTTGATTGAATTCTAAATTATTTAGAGATACTGATCTTGCCCATCTTTATAAACAAATGACATTGTACACACATACATCCTACACGTTACAATGGCAAATATTCTAAGGCAAATAAATTACTCTTAAGAGATTTGAAGCCACAGTGAACCAGATCTACACTAAACGCATCACATCATGCAGTTTGCAGAGCTGCTTTAAGACATAAGGCCTCTGTTCATCAGAATGTAACTTTGTTTGACAGCAAGAAAGGCTCACATGTTATCCTGAAACTGAGAAAGCTCTCAGTAGTCTACTGGGTAACAGGCAAGTGTTTCATTGCAAATCATGCCCCAGGCAGGTGTCTACAAGCTTCATTCTTTCATATGCAGTTTTTGCAAAGACAGTAGCATTTTACTTCTAGAGACTAGAGGTTTGTCTTTGGTTTTAGTCACAAGCAAGAGACATATAGGAAACTCAGTCCATACTCACTGGTTAATGGGAAGGACAGTTACAATTAAAAAGGGATTAAATTACAATACTCTTGTGTACATGCATGTATGTGGTACATCTCATTGTTTCTTTGGATTGTTCATTACAAGAATCTTGAACTTGATTCTCTGACCACACAGGACTCTACAAATACACACCTCCCTTCCCCAAATATTCCCTATTAAGATACCCAGACACGATGAAGCCCTTGGGAGACGTACAAGAGGCATGTCAATCTCTGCCTTTTACGTGGATTGTTCTCTTGGGTAAACTGAGCTTCTCCATGTTGGCCTGTAAAATAATAGGAAGAAAGGATGCTTCTGCTGAAACAGACCAAAGTAGAATTCTGTAGTGGGATGGAGCCACCTTTTACACACAAAAAAGCAGAGTCTTCAGCAATGGAAAACACCAGAGTATAGTCTGTTCTCTGGGCATCTTTAATCATTATTCTGAAAGGTACATCTTTCCCATCCAAGGATGTAGAACTGAGAGTTCCATACCAGAATACAGGAAAGTTTTAGTCTTCACATTATTTTTGACAAAATAAGTGATTTTCCTGACAAATAGCAGGAGCAAATAAAAAGCCAAGACCCGAATTATGACACTTTTAAGCGATTATTTGTAATAAACACTAACTTTTAGAATATGTTTTATCCCTGTTGGAAATAACCTTTAGTTGATAACTTTCTTGAGACACTCAAAATTTCTCAAGTTATAGCCAGTCCAGATTACTAACAGTAAAACAAATCCAGAAGGTAAGAATGAGGATGACATTGTTGCACATAATGTATATTTATTTGTCAATTGATAAAAATTTTCTTAGACTGTAGATGATGTGTGTATGATTACAGATGAAGGGAGAAATGAAGAATGAAAATGAGACAAGATTGATTTTCTTCTCTCTCTCGCTCTTTTTTTTTTTTTTTTTGGATGTCATTCCAAACACATCTCACCTAAATACGAGATCCTAATTAGGGTAGTTTCTCAAGTGTGTCCTGTTCTGGCTACCAAACTTCACTTTTCCTGAATTGCACGGTCACATGTGATCTCCACAAGCCCTCCTCATTCTTACCAGATACCTGGTTTGGCACGTCCTACAACATAGTATCCTTTCTCAAAAACTATGATAGGATTTCAGTGAAAACTCTATCCCTGTCTATAAACTACAGATAACACAGTTGCCTATCAAAAACACCTTTCATCAATAATCCCCTAATACTGTAATAAAACAGATCTTGAGAAGTCATTAGTCTTTAAAGTGAGATAGGAGAGAAAATTAAGATAAAAATTAAGTTGTGATGATTAGACTAGGGAAAAATTAGGTTGGATGGCCTGGTGAATTAAAAAAAAAAAAAAGGTTTGTTAAATCTTGAGGAGCCACAATAACATTTATAAAACTTATTTAAAACTGTTAGAATCTTAATATAATAAGCACTCTTGTATGTTTAGTGTTTTCCAAAGAGTCCTTCAGAGTTCAAAGTCTACTACTTATTAAGATAACCTTTCTTGGTCTACCCTTTTTCATAGAATATGTTTACATATTATTTTAAAACGAAAGAAATGGTAAGTGATAGGAATTTGTAACTAAGTTTAGTATTTGTCCTTCTATGAGGTGACATTCATAAACCCTGTTCATCTGAAAGGGGTATTTATTAACAACATCATTTTTTTAGTATTTCCATTTCTGCATATTCTTTTGGGCAATGATATGTATCCCATCAATTAAAGGAAGGACTGCCACTTCTAAGACCTTTGCTTTATCTTTCAAACAGTAATGATAGATTTGCTGTGAGACTGCCACCCAGAATGAGAGAACCGGGTGCTTAGGTTATAGGTTGCTGCCCATGGGAACACTATCGTATTTTTCTCTGTGTGAGTTTAACTGAGACATATAAAGAAACCAACAGCAAGTGTAGTAGCCTACATGTCAAGTTTTAGTGCAATTGAGTTCAATAAACCCAGAAGATTTGAAGCTCAAAGAAAACTCATGTATAGGGGAAATAATTCTAAGTGATGGAGACTGACAAAGATCTACATTGGTCAAAACGTCCTATCACAATTTCTGTAAAAGCAAAGATATTGTAGATTTACCTCCTATATAGTTATATTTGTTTAATAGAAAAGAAGCTACTTAAAAAAATTTTTTAAGATATTTTTTAAATTTAAAAAAATGTCAAGGACATTATTTATAATGCACCTGAAGTTGTGAACAAGTAAGAATTCTCTTCACAAGGTCTAAAAATTTATTAAACCATTTCGATTAAAACTCATTTACAATATTCTATTATTTTACCCTATCTATGTGAGAATTGGTTAAGCTCTCTGGTTGAAAAAAAAGAAAGACTGAAGACAAGAAAATAGCCTCTTTACCGTATTTAAAATATATGGGTGATAATTACTTGGTGATCACATATGTTTTTATGTATTGTGTTTTTAATTAAACTTACATGATGATCTTTTGGAGTTGATATGTAGAAGAATGAGACAAATAACATATTTTTAAGAACATATATAGCAAAACCATTTTCAATTTTTCTCCTCTGACTACTATTTAATAGAAATAATCACATCACCCTTGGCTCTTTATCAATTTGATTTCAACAGGGCTTTAGCCTTGATATGAAAACTTGCTAACAAAACTGTCGATTTGAAGTGTCAGCTTCCTTGCTAGGAAGTGTCAATGTCTAATAATATTTCTTTCTCCCCCACAGTAGAACACCCTGACAAAATGGCTAATGACCAAGGTACGGTGGCTCAATCTGTCATCTTTTCTCTCCTTGAATCAATTCTGTCTGTTAGAAATGTCAGTCATTATTTTGTATTCCTTTTTTCACCTGGGCCATACACCTGATGAAGCATTCACTGGCGTGGTAATTAATCTTGTTAATGAAGTTCTGTTTGGCTGAAGCTGCAGGTCTGTTGGGAAAGATGTAAATTTTCTTGAGAGGAAATTGTTTTGTCTCTATTCTGAAGGACCAATTAAAATGTCAAGCTTCTTTGTATGAAATAAATTTTTAGTCTCTGTCTGCACTTCTGAATAATTCACATTAAGTATAATTAAGCTCAGCATAATTTTCAGGCTGCTCTTACACCCTTTCCTGAGCTATGGATTAAAGTTCTGTAGCTCCACAGAGAAAAACCATAAATCAAGTGTGCTTTTTCTCTACAGTGAGCTTCTTTTAGTAAATAAAAACAAAGTTAGGACAACTTTTTTAGGGCATTGCTATTGTTCATTTTGAAGTCAGAAAGCTTTCACTCAGTGAATCAGACGCTGGTTTGACTCAGAGCATTTTATTCTCCTTCCATTCTTTTGCTAAAAGCTGATTCATGTAGAGAAATATGCATGGCTTTACACAAAGGAAAATGGAGACAAATAAGAGTTATCCATCAATTCACAGGTAGAGAAGAATTTGCTATTATCATGATTTGCAGATGGATAAATTATTTTTACATTAAAGGTAATTGGTAGCATTCTAGAGGAGAAAAAGAATAGCTTATGAGTGGTATTTTTTAGCCTGTTATATTCTTTAAAGAAGGGCAAGTTGGGAAGTATTTGCAACTCGTGGTCGTTGGTGATGTCCAGATTTTGTCCATATTTGTTGGCCCAGCGTCTACAGTTTGTGTCGTGTGTCTCCTGCCTTGGACAGTCTGTCAACAGAAACTGCTTGCAGGTGTCATGTCTTAGAAGGCACCATCTTGTGAGATGGAGGGAACCATTCTTTTCAACATGAATACTTTTTACCTTTTAAATATTAAGCAGCTGGATATTAAGGCTCACTAACAGAAGATTGTCTACATGAGTAGCATTTTATTTAATTATTCTGTGTTCAGGTTTACCCCTGGGTCCTTATGTCATACCCTTGCTTCAGAGAACATGGCTGGGACTTCACACACAGAAGTAATAAAAATGAACAATACACAGAAATAATCTATCCAGAGTTCACATTTCCGTTAATCACCTCAACCTACTTCCTGCTTATTTCTACTTAAAATATTTTTGTAAGATCAGTATCTACTAAATGGTAATATTTGTCAACTATTAATGATGAATACTGATCAGTTAGCCTGTATTTGCTTTGGTAAATTAAATATTAGTGCTGGCCAGAATAATTCACTAGCAGAAGTGGTTTTATTATTTCATTCATAAAATGATTACAACAGCTTTGCATAGCCTTCTTAACTTAAATGAATTTAAAACTTCCACAGGCAGATAATTCCTAATTTTTGAAATTATATGTAGAGAAATACATAGAGAAAGAGAGAGAAAACATACCAAAAAATGTTTTAAGTCAGTGAACCAGATGAAATGTTATATTACAAGCCACTCAGGCAACGACATGGCCGGGTTTCTGAACAAATGGATTTTGTTGCTATTTTTCAGTTAGCTGTTTTTTTTTTAAATATTATTTTAAGCTTCCAAATGTATATTTTGTAAATTGGTCCTTTTATAAAAGAAAAAAAGAGTAAATTATTCCCCAGTCCCTCTGTTCACACACTCTCCATGGATTTTCCTCAGATTTTCTTATTAATAGTGAAATCAGATCTGTTATCAGGGAAAAAAGGAATTCCCAAGAATTACTGCCAGTGTCTTGAGTCTATTAGTATTATTTGGGCAATTGTCCTTTTTCTTCATCTAATACTGCTTAAAAGATTCTTTCACTTATTATACTACTTGGTGCCTTATTCAATCACAGCTGGGATACAGTTGTTCAAACTGATAGGTTCTAAATTTTACATCAAAATCAAATCACCTATAAAATAGAGAGGAACTGACAACAGATAATATAGTGATTATAAATAAGATCTTTAAATTCTTACAAAGAAAACATGTCAAATTTGCTGGCCATCAAAATCTCTTTGTAAACAAAATCAGTCTTCTACGTTGATGACCGTTTAGAAGAAAATTAACCCAGATTGAAGATCCTTCTAAGATTAATGAAATAAGAGGAAAATGCCATTCTGAATGTTCCTACTCTGAGCACAAAGCCAATCATTTGAATATGTTTTACTGTGCCCACAGTTAGACCTATTTGCCGCTCCCCATGGTGAAGTGATCCCACTGTTAACATCTGCAGAAGGCACTGAATTTCTTTTGAGAGTAAATTCAACACCCGGGGTCAGAGTGAACCTTGCAAAGATGAAACCTAAATAGAAAAACAGGAGGTTGAATTTAATTTACCTGTGAGAGAGGAGGAAAAGTTTTGATTATCTTTGTAGACTTTTGTCACAATTACTTTTCTTGGAATCTGAGATATGTCCTAAGGAACATAAATGGGAAAACAAAAAGTCAGTTGCATTTGAATCAGCCGTGATATGAGGAAAATATTTTCTCCCGAGTAATAGCAGTAGTAGTCTGAAAATGATAGACAATTTTCATTGAACTCTTTTTCCCTTTGTGTAGTTATAAATTGATTATATCTAGCATTTTCTTATCTCTCTAATCTCAGCCTCCTCTATAATTCCCTGTTTTTTGCAGCCCTTTATCTCTTCTTAAACATCCTAATTTTTTTCTCTAGTCTCTTCCAGGCACAAGTGGCCAATAAGTTTGAAGGTAATCATGAGATTTTAGAGATTAACCACAGAATTTAATTTTTAGGAAGGTCAGGTAGGATAGGGAAATTATATGGCCTATGTGAAGTGAGTTCAGGGGACATAGAAATGCTGTGCTTTTTTTTTCCCTTTTTTATTTTTCATATTTTGATAAGAACCCTGTCAATTTGTGTGTGTGTGTGTGTGTGTGTGTGTGTGTGTGTGTGTGTACATGTGTAATGGCAAAATGAACTCCTGTGAAACCCTACCAGTGTCTCTGTTTAGAGACTTCTCATTTGAGCCTCACTGCTATACTGTAAGTTACAATTATTGTTCTCATCTTGGCAATGAAGAAAATGAAGCTCAGAACATTCCAGTCCCTTGTCTGTAGACACACAGCTAGTAAGTAGCAAGGCCATTTGAACCCTGTGGTTTTTAACCAGAGTATGTTCATCCCGTGTTCGTACATGGACACATAACTGACCACACACTCCTGTTTAACATTTATTTATAAAGCTGCTGCAGCTGAAGGTTGTGTATGGATATCTTCCCAACATCAACTTTCCTTTCCCCATTTCTGTGAATACTCCGGAGAATAAAACAGCTTTCACTCTGGGGTCATCTTGTTCGTGGGAAATCACAGCACTACTAAGTAGGTGATCGTGAGAGTCAGTTATCTCGGGAAACACAGAGATGGTGCTAATTCCACTGCCTCAGCCAGCTCAGGCTGCTTGTACAAAATGCCACTGCCTGGGGGGATTAAACAACAGAAACCTGCTTCTCACAGTTCTAGAGGGTGTAAGTCCCAGATCAAGATGCAGCCACGTTGGTTTCTGGTGAGAACGTTCTTCCTGGCTTGCAGTCAGGTGTCTTCTTGCTGTGTCCTCATATGGCAGAGGGAGAGCCGGCTCCCTCATATCTCTTCCTCTCAGATCAGGGCCCTACCCTTGTGACCTCATTTGGCCTTAATTATTTCCACAGGGCCTCACACTGGGTGTTAGGAATTCAGCATATGATTCTGGGAGGTGGTGGGAGAGCACAACGCATTCACAGCATCCACCTTCAAAAAGAAAGCTGCTCTCTCGCTCTCGCTGATTATCTCCCCAGTGTTTCAGATGAGGAGGCAGAAGGCAGTGCTTTGCCCAAGGTCGCACAAATGTAGTTGTGGGCAGAGGTGGATGCCAACATGTTTCTCTCTGACTCCCAGAGTGTAGTCTGTCCACTGTAGACTGCTGCTTTCTACATGAAAAATGTGGCTCTTTGGTCTTCTGTAATGAGCTTAAACCTTTTAGAGTTTCTCACAGAAGCATTTATAAAAGCCTCTGTTTGGAATTGCAAAGGGGATAGCTATGACTATAAAATATAACCAGTTCTCAGAAGTGATAATCATCTGACCAAACTTCTGTCTTAAAGGATTGTTTTTACATCCTTGTATTCTGTTTAATCCCCAAATGTTCTTCTCCATTTTGAGGTGTCGATGTGTAAAAAGAGGTCATTCTAAATATGAGCACAAATGTCTACAAGGTCATGTGTGTTTCCATGTCTGCCCGCAGAGGGCATGCAGAGTAGGTGTTAGGGTCCTGTCACAGGACCTGAAAGAAGGCAGGAACCTTTATGAAATGACCTGTGTCATCACTGAGATGAATCAGAAACAAAATGCTGACTTCACACACTCTCAAGTGTCTTTCCCTCTCCATAGCCGGCAAAGCGGAGATCTAAAACAGCCCAGCTACCAAGGAGATGGAAATTCACAGGTCAGTTTATAGATCTAGAAGCAGGTGACCTGCTGAGAACTGCCCTCCCACCAGGAGGGAGAATTACTCACTTCCGAATCATGGTAACAGCTCATAATGCCAGCCGTCAGCACGCAGTGGGCACTGCAGGAGGGATGGAATGGGTTTGGAGACCTCAAATTCTAGGGCCTCTTGCCACTGTGACCTCCTGTGTGACTTAGGCATGTGACTGACCTCTCTCAGCATCCTCACCTGTCAAATGATGACTCCTGTCCAAAGTATCTTTCCTTTTCTTTCAAGATTTCAGATGATCAAACCTGAGGACTAGTGTTAGGTTTAAAAACCCAGGCATAGCATCTTCACATAACATAGTACTTCACATTTTTCACATTCCCAGGATACATCATTCTCCTATGCACTGTTCATGTGCTATCATATCCTCCTAAAATCCTTCCAGATATAGAAAATGAGACTCAGAGATG